TCTTAAATATATTTCTAGATAGTGTGTATGGAAATTTTCAGACGAATTCAACGCTTTGGTGGCGAATCACAAAAGTTTTAGTTTGTGCGGAGTTTAATTTATTCTACTTTTAGATCGTAAACAAAAACTTCGAAATTGGATAAATCATTCTTTCAACTCCGTAAGAACGTACTTAAGGTGATTTTTCTTTGAAATAAAGCCATAATTGAACAAAATTTACAAAGGAAATCAAGGAAACCAGAGTTTTTGAAGTCAATTTGAAACCAGCCGCCATCTTGGATGATCAAAGTTATCATCCAAGATGGCGTCCCCATACAAATTAACCAAATATTTCAAATCTTTATTCGCTGATATCTTCATCAGAAAGTAAGCTGCAAGCCTTAAAGTTCGTATTCTAGATAATCTGACTATGCTCTTTGTGACTCGCTACTTGGTTTTTGAAAATAACGACTAATAAATTTTCACTTTGGGGGGTTGCACACCAAGAATTCCAAGATTTTTCATTACTGATTTCAACAGGAAGAGCGTTCCAACGTTTAGGGGTGGTAGATTGAAAAGCCTTATGTCGCTTCACCTTACCTTCCACTAGCTGGAGCTAATAAAGAGCGGACGAAGATAATATCGAGAAACCTATAAAAAAATTATACCTTAAAAATAGAAAAAGAAAATAAATATAAACATTAATATAAATAAAATAATTTCACGACAAAACACCAACTTGTAGCTATATAACTATGTTTTACTTGGACGTTTCGGAGTTAATGCTGCAAATAAAGATTATTTGGACTCAAAAAAAACTGTGAAACATATTATCAAGGGATTGTGTAATTATCAATGAAGCACTAATCCATGAGGGATAGGCTCAGGACATGCGCAGTCGTGTCACTAATTAAGAGCGAATAAGACGTCAGCTGATGAAATTAAGCAAATTTAAGCATAGGCAGCCTAACACAATAAGAAATCACAATAACTTTTTACTTTTGCCTTTTGCAGATTTCCGAGAATTCATGTGTTCGCTCTAYGTATCAACACGCGGGTCTATGGAACAGAAACTCAAATGGGCTTTCAGTATATACGACATAAATGGTGATGGTTTTATAACAAAACAAGAAATGTACCGCATTGTCGACGCACTGTATAGAACGGCAGGGGACGATCCCACAACTAACAAGAGTTTGGTGGCTCAGTGGGAAGAGCTTGATCCGGAAGAGCGAACACTAAAAGTGTTCAGGAGCTTTGACACAAACAGAGACGGGCTTCTTTCACTGTCAGAATTTCTAGAAGGCGCCAAGAAAGACAAAACTTTAGCTTTAATTCTTGAAAATCAGTCGTGTGATTTTTGAAGCTAACAAAACAAATTTGGGACACTGGGCGTATCCTATGTACATAGATAGACGGACATTTAGAATTWACGTCAACCGAATTTATAAACTTTGATATCCACTCGTTCCCATTCACTTTTGCGCATGGATAAAGATTCACCTCCGCTGACCAATACAGAACTATACATGCAGGTTAGGAAATTCAACACCGCAAAACACAGAAGGGCGTGGCCAATGCCACGCGRCACTAATGAAAATATAATTCCTCTAGCTTCAAGAGGACTGTTTGATAAAATACAAAACTGAATCAGTTTGATAAAAATGTTAGAGTTACGTGTCTCTAGTGTCAAAAGAATAGATGTCCATGTTGGTTATGGATTAGCCACTGAAATGTTGGCCTGGAATTAAAATAGYCAACTCGATCTCGTTTTATGACATGAGAATTCAATGTATCCAATGTAAAATAGTAATATACTGGATAACAACTTGTAGCTGTTGTATATTATTTTTTTGTTGCGCAATGGCGCGGCTCTAAAATATCTAATTTGTCAGGATTTTGGTTGGGTGTTTTTGGTTTGGAAATATTTTTGAAAATAGGATTATTCGTGCCTAGGACGGAGGTTTTGAGTGAGTCCTGAACTTTTGGATGGACCCAATTCTCATTCGTTAGGCAAAGAATGCTGCAACAGACTCACAACTTTCACCACATTGAGTAGATGTTTATTGAAAGTCAAATTATTAATACACAAGGTTTTTTCTGAAGACTGTGTTTTTATTGATTTGCTAACAACGAATAAACCGTGATTTTCTAAAGGAAATATACTAGAACTAATATTACTTTACATATCACCCCGATATACGAACACCCCGATGTAACGACCACCCCGATATAATGGAGTCCACGCACAAGCTTTTGCTTAATTTTAAGCTTCGCGACAGTAATATATCTCTCTTCTGAGCACGAGTAAATACATAAAGGCAACATTTCCTGTATGAGGATGTAAATAAGGATGCGAAGAAGACTAATTATGCGACCATGATATGAATCAACTGATAAAATTGTTYTATAAAAATATAACACCTCCGGTGGGACTCGAACCCACAACCTTTGAATTAGAAGTCCAACGCGCTAATCCATTGCGCCACGGAGGCACTATAAAGTAAGTTTTAATTGGATAAAGATTTCAGGATTCAGCCTGGTGTGAGCAAGCAAACAAAGCGACTGACAACCTTTTGCGAAGATAGCAATGCTTGATTATTCGCAAAGCTGGTACGCTTTTAAACTGCCAAGTCAATCAAACTGCATGATTACGCGCGAACTCTGCTTGACAATATGGTTTCTAAAGTAAAAGTTATCTTTAGAAAAAGGCGCGATTCTCTGCGCACACGTGGTTCTATCAAGTTATAAGCTATTTTGCTTGATTTGTTTTAGTGTCCTTTGCTCCTCATAAAGCTGGTTTAGATTCAGAGACATAAGAACGAGCGTAGCATAAAACATTCTCATTCTCCACGGTGGAAATCCTTACCAACGCAAGCACATTAACTAACGGCATATTCTAATGAAAACACATCGTAGCTCAGTAATTGTTATACTTTTATGTTAATTAAAAGTTACTTTTAAGATTGTGTATCTTGTGAAAATCGTTCTTGACAGAGCGCTTTGGAATTGGTGTACCCACTTATGATATCCTCTACTGATGACGACATTGTACAGTATAAGACTAGTTCACTGCAACACCTCAAGATGTGTTCAATTTTATTATGTTCTTAAAAATCAATTACAAGAACATGAAGTGGATGCAATAAATATAAAAGTCGTGTATGGTGTATGATCTAGGTGTCCAGACTATGCATATATTGCCAAATTTGCCAAAAAGCCTTAGAAAAATTCCAAAATATCTCCTGTTTTTTGCCATGACATTAGTTTTTTATTCAGTTTTTATTTATTTGTTTTCTGCTTGTAATAAAAATGACGTGTGTAACAATGATATCTTACATCTGATAAAGGAATGAATGGACTACGGAATGCCGGAACTATACAACAAAGATGTTAAAAGTTTTTTTTTTCACTTTGTTCTTAAACTTGCGTAAGGTCAAGTTCTTTGAATCATTTTAAAATTGAAAATACTATGAAATAGCATCGTATAATCAGATATACAAATGCCACGACTTCTGATTTTACATTTTAGTGATGCAATCGATACGAGATAAAATGGATTAATACGACCTTGAATGGCAGGTTGATGATAATGTCATATGATGGTGCCAAAAACATTTTGTAGATTCTGACAAGCGTGCATTAGTCTCTGTGCTAAGTTGATTCAAAAAACGTTTAGCTGCCGATAAAGATATAATCACGGAATAAACAATGAGAAGTAAAAGATTAAAAATTAAATGAGCTTAAATGTTTTTCGTTTTTGAAGTAGAAAATCGCGTTGATTTTAGGTGAATATATTTTTACCGATAACTCAGCGCCGCCATCTTGAATTGAAGAACGCCCAACTTTCAGACAAAATTACTGGGTATTCAATCGAAAACAATGTGTTACAAGATGTAGAGATCAATCCATGCATACATCTAATTGTAAATACGTTTTCAGGCTCAGAAAGGTTGTACATCGAAAAGCTAAGACCAAAATGGACAAATAATCAAAAGCGATTTAATAATCATGGTTTAATCTCAGATTTCTCGTAGTACGAGAAATGTTAACATGTTTTTTAGGCTAATATGACTAATATATAAATTTCCCAGTACCCAAAAATCCATTAGGTCTTACAGCTTCCTCGATGTTACTTTTCTAAGCCCAGCAACAAAAAGATGTTGTTTCGGAGCCGTTGTTTCTTTTGTCACAACGTTTTTTTCATTTAGACTTATATTCATTGTGTAATCCGACCATTTTATATAAGTAATCATATTGTTGATTATAATCATACAACTCAGCTAAAATTACAAATGTCTATATTACACTACAAAATGGAAATGCATGAGTGTTGTTTTTTATTCCAAACATTGTGAAATGCTTCTGTTGAAATGGTGTAGGGATCCGTTATGCTGTTCGCGTAGTTTGTTTCCAGTTATCTGATTTKKCGCGGAAACTCCACTTGGCTAGCACTCATCTCATGTACACAGCATAGTGTTCGTTGATCAACGTACAATAACGTAAAGCAAATCCTTCGTTGTTATATGTGACACTAACGTTACGTATCAGTTTGTGTGACCATTGCGTGCGAAGATAGAAGGGAGCGTATCTGTACGTGCTTATACGTAATGGCTTGTTCCATATCTGCGTCAGGCGAAACTACGACAAATCCATGCTCAATCTCGAAATATATAACACATTGCGTCAATTAGATAGTTAGCACAGGAAACCCGCCACTTTTTCCTAGTTGGTCATTGAACTAYATCCCATAATATTACCATGCTGATGAGAAATTCAAAATGCTTCATGTTAATTTACAGCGGTTTCCGTGGACGAGCATGCTCATTTACATCGATAAACACGTTCTCGCTTTGTACACGTTTTGCACTTTACGTAACAACACCAGACGTATTGACATTCGCAGCGTTCTTCCTTGGTAACAGTTTTACTGCGATAACCACGACCACAGCACATGTAATTACAGCTTCCTTTGCCGCCTCTCATTTTAGGATTACAAATTCGTCCTTTAGTACCATAAGACCCCTTTCTTTTATCCTTTCTGCAGTAGGATGGTGAACGGCTAAGAGCAATAAGATCTTTGGTAGTGTATTTACGTCCTTTGCGGTCCTTCGATTTCAATGAAATTTTTTCCTGTTTTCTCTCCTTTTCCTTCTTTTCTTTTTCATCTACTGTGATGTCATTTTTCTTTTTTCGTTTGTCTTTTTTGGTCTTGCTCTTACTCTTTTCCTTTTTCACGTAAATGATTCTGTCATATTTTCTTCGTAAGAATTTAGCAATTTCTCTGAAATCTCCCAAACGACGAAAGCAAGTCTTGACGTTGCAGCTTCCGGAGACTCCGTGGCATTTGCAATGAACTTTCATATGATCTCGTACAGCCTGAAAAAATACACAAAAAAACAACATGATTATTAAAGATATAAGCAAACTAGGCTGTCTAAGTGACAAGTCTATCACCTTTTCATGACATAGTGTATCTTACTGATCATACTAGTATCTCTATTTCACCCGTCTAACATAAGTCTGCTACTCTGCGTGCTTAAGATTTTGTAAATCATAACGAGTACGCGTGCCTCATAAAATCTTCACCAACATTTAGAAACGCCGCCGCCTCTTATTCTTCGGTGACCTTGTGCTCAAAGGCCAAGGACGGGTGCCAATTTTCCGATGTTCACCCTGTTTCGCTAAAAGAGGTTAATGGGAATCGAATCAAGACACTACGATTGGGCAACTAAGTTATCCATCGGCGACAAGTTTGTGCGCACTTTTACGGATTTACGAAAAACCATGCGACAGTTTGTTTTGATTGACGTGTGGAATGACGTCGTGAAAAGGAATCTGGAAAAGTCGTTATAAAGCTATTGTTGTGATCGAATAATCAACAAGGATTATAGGAATAAACTAATGAAGTACGCATGAGGAGTTATTAAATAAAGTTATTTAAAAAAGGAAAGATACCAGTGATACAATAAAGATGTTTGTTTTTAACAGGATTTGTACAATGTTTGCATTGTTTCTCCTAATGACTTTTTAAGTACCATCCCTGTAGAGCAAAGACCTTGACAATGCTATATATATACACAAAAAAAACCGATTCCTTTTGTATATTCTATACAACCGTTTAGCAAATAGAGCTCAAATCCTGCGGACGATTGAGAAAAAAATCACAATATTCTTCGTTTGCAAAAGTCACGCCGGCCATTTTGGTTGAACTTCAACAAAGGATTTCTCATTGTTCATTCATCCAAAATGACCGCCGGTCTTCTACTAAAAGATCTTTTGATCTTTTGAATCTGATGGGAATGACCGAAAACGAGCAATTTTGGAAAATACTTATATATTTGGAAGTTCGATCCAGTTACATTCTTATAAAGTCAGTTCCTGGAGAAAATCAAGGGATTCGGACCTGGTAAGCCATCACACTGTTTTCAGTTACAGCATCAACTAAAAATAGTCAAGTATAACATATGGTTGTTTTGGTCGACAAACGATATAATTCAAAGCATACAATTATTGGAGAAAGTGAGATTTTTTAAATATTCTTTTGCCTTTCGGCATCCCATAATTTGGAATGATATCTGCGTGCAAATCATCTACTAATTTGATGTAGTCAGAACTGTAGTTGTAATCTCATTCAGGTGAGTACAACCATTACAGGATATCTGGCAATATGGAAGAACATATGTTTAAAGTAAGCTCACATATGGCTTCGTCCCATGATTTATCGTTCTAGACAAAACTAATGAGTCGGCCGCAAAATATTAGCATGAAGTAAAAGCTTCATATATTTAAAACACATTTGTCGTTAAATCTTACTGTACTTCCTGAGTTGATCATGAAATGCGTTCCGTTTCGTTTCCTTTTGAAATGATTACTTAGTAATTGACATTTTCTTTGCAGAGCTCACGTGTTGCAGACGAAGTCTGACTATAGTGCTCTGTGTGACAATGAGACCTAGCCTTCGTTATCGACCACACCATCTGACAAGTGACTATCGTGTAGATTTCTCAGAAGACCAATTCATTATGTCTTGGTATGCTCGAATCGATTTTGTTTCACTTCAATTTTGACATCACCTGCCAGATTTGTACAAGATTGAATAGCA